CCGCAGGTTTAGTTGTGTTTGAGTAACAGGGAATTACTTGTAAAAATCCTTGAATTTCATGAGTTAGTGAACCTACTGTACTTATTATGATAATCTGGTGCTCACAGATGTGGGTATGAGACATCCTTTCCCGTTGTGCCATGGAGCTCAACCTAGAGCCTTTGCGGTCAGTCGCAAGAGAGGGAGTGAAGATATAATTTTATGCAGGAATTGCAAACAACTGATTGGAGGAAGGTTTACATTTCGGGAAACCACAATCTAAGAGGGGAGGGGGTAATTTTTGTCTGTCAATGCAATGTTCCTCCATCTCTGCTTGTTCTTTTTTCATTGCATTTTTCTCCTCTTCGCGCACAATAAAAATAAGCACAAAAAATTAATATTTTTCGATGTGTGTCTAACAGCCTTACTGTGTCCGCTCTCTTTAATCAGTTCCTCTCCCTCGACCTCCGGCTCTCCGGGCTTTTTGCTTGATACACCAGACACCCTGGATGCCAGTACCGCTGTTAGCAACCCCATCCTCAGGGAGGAGACGGCAATTGAGGGCCAGAGACTGGATCCGGAGGAAGAAGAAGACAGCCAAATCTATCGTCACTTCCTCCTTCTCATCCTCCTCGCCATAAGCATGTTCTTTGTGAGTTGGCTGTGTCCTTCACAAACCATCCAGGGCAGTATACATTATGGCGAATGCTGTTTGCAAAATGTCAAAGTTTGTAAATCATTTATCATTACCGGCGTGAACGCATTTACGGGAACTTAGATATAATAATGAGCAGCATTGGGCAAATTTGGTACTTAAAAGAATTATAAGAAATACTAAGCGTTCGTTAAGAAAAATAAGATTTTCTTGATAATGTCCAGTTTCTGGAGACGTAAAAATTAGCTATAAATTCGAACAGTAAATGTAAATCCTTTTTTCATCTGAATACATAACCTAACCACTTTTTTTAAATAAAAAAACGTTTTGTTAGTTACCATACTAATAGCCTAGGTACTAGCTAAAAGGCCCAG